AGCTGTTTAGAGTCTCACAGAAAACTTTTTGACTGTATTTATTTATTGTTGCAAAAAAGACGCTTTTTTATTGCTGCCCTCATTCGTCAGCTAATTATTTTTTCTTATAAAATCCAGCCCTGGTTACGTGTATCCATCCTATATCTTATCATGATTCCTGTAGGTGAAGTACAAGGCGACCTCTAGATGTCTTTTCTTTCTATGAAAGGAGCTGCTATGTACACATGTGCACACACAACTGGGAATCAACAATGAGTTTATTGTTCATGGTAGACACAGATGAAGCTTGCAGGAAGGCTGGGATAAGTAAGTGGTCCTGGACTACAGACTTCGTTGCCTTGAATACACCAGTACAAATTGTCATTTACTCTGCACCAGGCTAAATGAGCAAAATCTATTTGAAGGTATCTTGTTTGTAAACATTTGTCAGATTCTAATTTTTTTCTTTTTGTATGAAAATTCAACTATGGATGTATATGAATCGAAATAAATGGAGATAATTTTTCTCCCACAGATGGAGGTCTCTTTGAATGTGCGCTAATGATTGCTTGTAAGCCCTTGTGGGGAGAGGGAGGACCACCAGGAATCACAGGCAGAAGGCCTGAGTTTCTAAGTCCCAGTCCATTGTCATCACATCAGAAATCTCTAGGGAGCTGGCCTCTGATAGCAGGAATATCACACAGTACCTTCTGTCTGTGTGGGGTGAAGGGTGTTGAGATAACTTTGGCCTCTACTCTCTGTTGGTTGGGTTCCTTTGGGTTTTCTTTGTTGCAGTAGGGGAGACTCACACAAGCAGGGTGCAGGATAGAGCAGACAGGTGAGTTCTGCATGTGCCTCCTGCCCGTGTTCTCGTCTTCCTTCCCCTTGTGCTGCTGCTCTGTGTTGTGAAATCAGCCAGAGTCGGATTGTGCAGCTTCTCAGACGTTTCCTAGACTTTGCACTAGTACATATTAGCCTTGTCCTGCTGAGTTCTAGAATCTACCTAGTTTTTGTTTTTTCAAAGTCTTCTCTGTTCGTTTGGTGTAGCCCTGCTATGCAAAGCCTTCCCCAGCCCGTAGTTTCTTGAAAGGAAACTGTGGCAACAGTTGGCATTTCTCTCTTCTCCAGGCTCAGGTGTACAGGTCCCTCTGGGCTCCCACGCTCTGCTGGAGCCCACTCCCTCTGTACATAAAGATGTCACTTTAGCCTTCGCTTACAGCTAAAGAGACTAAATGCTCAATATGGTAACAAAATTTTCGCTTAAACTATCAAGGTGGAAGTAGTTAAACACAGGCTATTTTGTCCTTCTAGTTTACAAAAGGAAAATGTTCCATGTTGTAAGCATCGTGCTGATGCAAGAGTTCTACATTTTAATGATAGGATGTGATTCTGCATCTAACCATGTCACAGTATCCCTGTCCTATCTATTCATATATCTGAGTATATATGGGCTCGTCACTTAAGCTTGTTGCAGCAACAGCTCTCCTACCTGTAGGCAATAGATTGCTATGTTTTTAACAAATTGTAGCAAATTCTAAATAATTCTTTTTGTACGTAATAGGACATTTCATCCTAAAAAAAATAAAGTAATGTTTTTGACATTGGATTCTGTGCAGTTTCTAATGAAACAATGGTTGGTTGGTTGGTTTGCTGTTTGATATATTTTCTGTAGCTGTTGGCATTGCCAAGTTGTACAGAAGGGGGGTGGGTTGTGGATTTCTGAGACCGGGAAGATGTTAATTTCATATTGTATACTTAATGGTATAAAGACTTTTGCAATTTCTATCACCATATAAAGACATTTTATAATTTTATCAGACTATAGAGCTTTAGTCTTTCAAAAGGAATTTTTGAAAAACGTGCATTCTTACTTCAAAAGCTGCTTTTCTACTGATTTGAGGAACTTGTGCTACTCAACGAAACGTTAAGCTGTTAGCTTCGGCAGTCTGCGTGGTCCGATGCGCATTGGTGATATGGTTAGGATGTTTCTGCCCGGGCTTCACACCTATAACCTGTACTTTCTTTGCTTTAACAGATTTCTTTGGCTAAAAGTATTTTTAGCATTTCCTGTGCTTCATCTCCCAAGTTCACAATTTGAGGCCATTTCATAAGAGATATTTTCATAATGTCTGTGAGGCTTTTCTCTCCTGTACAAATTCTTCAGGGTTTGTATTTACTGTCCTACAATAGGTCAGCGAAATTGTGACCTTTTGGAGATGTTTCTACAGTAAAAATGACATTTTTCTATTTGGAGTGGCCTGGAGTGCTGTGTAGGGACCCTGACAATGTGTTGCTGTTTGTAACCTTTCCACTTAAGATCTGCAAATAAAACTTTCCCTGTCTCTGCCCATTTGTGTCAGGTCAAATCTCAGTTCTTGCGTTTCTGATGTAAGAGTCAACCTGGTGGCTGTACAGTTAGACTGACAATATTTGCTCTGTGTGTGTGTGTGTGTGTGTACGTGTGTGTGGGGGGTGTGTGTGTGCATTATTTTCATGTATATGAGTGTTTTGCCCGCATGTGTGTATGTGCACCCTGTGTGTGCCTGATGTCCATGGGGATCAGAAGAGGGTATTGGGTCCCCTGGAACTGGAGTTTACTACGGTTGTGAGCCACGATATGGGTGCTGGGGAATGAATCCAGGTCCTCTGCAAGAGTGGCCAGTGATTTTTAACTGCTGAGCCATCTCTCCAGCCCCCAGGATTCACTCTGGAGGCAGATCCCCAGCAGGGTCTTGAACTTGGGAGTGTTGTTCTCTCCTGAGCTAAGTACTGGCTGATTGGCCCATGGGCAGGGGTCATGGGGGGTAACAAGGATGCTGGAGAAAGGGGAGGGTGATATCTGGTGTAGTTTGAGGAATATTTAGATACATAAAATGAGATTCTGGGAAAGACATTGCTGAGCATAGCATACCCCTTGATCCAATTTCAACCAATAAAATACTGTATTTTCAGACTGGAAGAGACCATGCACAAACTGACAGAGTGTCCTGCCAGCCACAGGCATTCGCTTGGTCACCCTAAAAATCAGTTCAGAAGAGAACTGTACAATGCCATAAAACTTAGTGTCACACATACCAAAAGGCAGAAGGAGGAAGGAGACTCTTATAGACCTTTCCCTAACAAAAGAAAAGCACATCCTTTCCCTCTCAAGTCCTTGAAGTAACAGCTTAATTTGAAGGACAGATGCTATTGAATTCTTTCAAGGCAACTGATTATTTTATTGCTGAAGGGCTATTGTGTGTGTACATTAACACAAAGGGCCCTTCAGTCTTTGGAGCACTGAGCCAAGTACTGGCGATGGGAGTGAGTGTGTGTGGAATCTATCAATGGGACAAAAGAATTGAGACAACAATGATTTGCTCGTTAAATTTTTCTATAAAGTTAGAAATTGCAAGCAAGGTTCTGTGTGGATGTTCAAAAGGTGATTCTTCCAACCTTCTGGCCAACCTGTAATCTCCAGGGTTCTTTTCTGTCTCCTTTTCCAATCTCCAGCCCACCACTAACTGACCGTGACTGAACCTTGCTAGTCTTGTCTTACAGACCCAGCCTTGATTGAAGAATGGCTTTTATTTATTTTTATCCAGGCAATCTGTACAACAAGTGCAGGGTTACTGCATAGCCCTGACCTCCAAGTCAGGGAAAGGTCGGTAAGACCTGGGGGTCTGGCACTGGTGTTTGTATGTGTACCTTTGTGTCTGTAGGGAAGTGTGCACTCAGGTACCAGGAGAGGGGGCCAGATGCCCTGGGGTAAAGGGAATTGAGAGGCACTTGATAGGGATGCTGGGGTCTGGACTCCAGCCCTCTGTAAAAGCAGCAAGGATCTTAACTCTGCAATCTCTCAAGCCCCCTCTTCCCCTATGGAGACCAAAGTCCCTTGTATCCCAGGCTGGCATCACACTTATGAGGCAAGGATGACCTTGATCATCCTCCTGCCTCTGCCTCCTGAGTGCTGCACTGTAGGCTTACTCTACCACACTTGGCATTCACAAACAAAAACGCTTTAATGAATTTGGACACGTGTCACCTTTGGAATATTCTCTAAAAGACCTTCAGCTGGGAGTTTGTGATATAGTTGCAACGAGCCTGCAGAGCCCTTTGTCCCATGAGTATAGGGCCAATCTGGCCTCTACCAAAGTGCCAGCCAAAGCTGTGTGTAACTTTTAGCAAACCAAAAGAAACCCCCCAAAAAGTAACTACTTACCACTAAGTAGAACCTCTCAGCTTTATTTTACTGATGTTTCCCATGTCTGAGGCCAAAGAGGCAATAGTTACCATATTGCACATGGTTTTTGTTTTGTTTTATTTTTCCTCTATCCCTGGCCATCCTGGAATTCACTATGCAGACCAGGCTGACCTCATTCACAGAGACGCACTTGCCTCTGCTTCAGTGCTGGGATTGAAAGTGGACTATGGCCTCCCCCAACGTCATGTTCTTTTATGAGACAGGGTTTCAAGTAGCTCAGGTTGGCCTTGAACTCTTAACACACACCCCTCAGACTTCCAGGCACAGGATTGCAGGTTCACATAACCACATCTGGCTGCACATCTGTCATAAGCTATGGCTGCTTGCTTCCCAGGCAACTTCCCTGTGACAGTCTTTTTTTTTTTTTTTTTTTTTTTTTTTTTTGGTTTGGTTTTTCAAGACAGGGTTTCTCTGTATTGTTTTGGAGGCTGTCCTGGGACTCGCTCTATAGACCAGGCTGGCCTCGAACTCACAGATACCCACCTGCCTCTACCTCTCCAGGGCTGGAATTGAAAGTTTGTGTGTTCTTAGTGTCTGTTCTGAAATTAACTGAAATACAGCCTGATCCTCTAAAAGAAAAATCAGTATGTCCTTGTAGACATACTGAGCTAGTGATTGAAGGTTTTTCACTCCAAACCTAACGGCTCCACTAAACTAGCCTGTGGACTGGCACTGCTGAACGTGGCTTCCAGGGCTTGGGAAGTTTGAGAAAAGTTTTTTCTCAAATCATTAAGGCAAAAAAAAAAAAAAAAAAAAAAAGCCAGGTGCATCCAAGATCTGATTTCAAGGCAAGATTTACTGCTTTGCAAACACAATGGTGATCCTGGCTCTTAACAGAAAAATGACATCAGATCCACCAGAAAACGTGCTGGAATAGACACCAGTTTGGCACAAGACAGGTTATTGGGAGCAAGGAGGCATGACAGTACACAGGGGTGATTCAGGAACACACTTTGAATGGTGTTTTGCTTGAATTAGCCCTTGAAATGTATAATTTTCATACTTAGCCTGGGCTCTGACCCTCGTGTCTCATCTAAACGACATGTCATACGTAAATGAGTTGTGGTGGGGATGTTTACTCTCGTGTGGAACTTAAAACTCGATGCTTTAAATACAAAATCTGGCTTGACACATGATAGATACTATTCAAAGTTGTATATTTAAATTCAAGAAAGGTTTTGTGAACTATTTCTACTGAAAAAGATGTATTAAATTAAAATAACTTAAAAAACAGGAAGTGGTGTGATGTGTTGACGGGGCGTGTGGTAACTGTTACTACTTTGTGGGACTCCCCCACTGTGCTCTGGAGCACACCTTGTCAGCGTTTTGTAAGCAAAGTGACAGCTTTGGAGTGAAGCTGCACCAGTTCTTCAGCTGTGGGCCCAGTTTCAAACAGAAGAACCCTGCTACATGAAGATCGGTGAAGACCACCTTTGTGTCTTACTGCTGAGCTCTAAATCTCTTGGGAGTCACAAGTGCCAGGTTGGTGTGTTCAGATGCACCGGGTGTGGATGGCACCTCGAACGTGCCACTCCCGTTTTCGGTTAAATCTTTTCACATAGCTGCTGCTGCCCCTGAGCAGCCCGTCTCCTGGACGCAGGCGCCCTCTCAGGACCTGGAGCAGAGCAGTAGGGAGCTGCCGTCGCTTGTGGTAGATGTGGCCCATCACAATATACCGGCTCCCTGAACAAGAGACCCAGGAGAGAAAGGATGTCATTTAAATACCAGGAAACAGTGACACCTGAGCTCGAATCTTTATCTTGCTATTCGTGTGGCAACTTATGTAGTCTCTAGGCAACAGGTGGGAAATCTGTGAGATGACAGCCTACAGACTGCCAACATGACAGAACAAAGCCCTGTCCACCCCAGAACATCTCAAGGAAGAAATGGAACAGTTGAGAAAAAGGCCTTTCTCAACTCAGTGCTGTGTAGTAGGACCCCTTAGACGACACTTTGGAAAGTGGTGTTTTGTCAACACATCAGTGTGGGGATGTGTTGGGGGTTTTGGTTTGGGTGGGTTGGTTTTTCTGTGTAGCACTGGCTGTCCTGGTACCATGCTGGCCTCCACCTCCCGAGTGCCGACACTCAAGGTGCCGCGCCCAATGTTTTTGTTGTTTCTTTTGAGAATTAGTCAAAGCTGGTCTTGAACTCTCTTTGTGGGGGATGACCTTGAAGTTCTGATCCTCCTGCCTCCAAATCCCTCCTGGGTACTGGAGTTGCAGGTGTAGGATACCAATCCTGGCCTGTTCTATGTCCATCGCTGTTCATTTTTAAGAGGCCTGAAATGGTATGTAATCTAAATTCCATTGGTTACACTACAGTCCCACAAAGCTGGGATCGAACCCCACCAGAAACTCAGCATGTGTTGAAGCAGGCTTGCCTGGCATGTGTGAAAAACCCTGCTAAATTCCTAGTCTTGGGATGGGGGTGGCGACCAACAGAAGCCAGGCTGCAGCATTAAGGTCCCCAACAGCCAGAGGCAGAGGTAGGCAGATATCTTGAGTTCCAGACCAGCCTGATCTACAAAGCAAGTTCCAGGACAGCCAGGGATACAGAGAGAAGCCCAGTCTCGGATGGATGGATGGATGGATGGATGGATGGATGGATGGATGGATGGATGGATGGATGGATGGATGGATGGATGGACGAACGAACAAATAGATAAATAAATGGCACGTATGAGCTGGTCTTTTGGGTCAGTTTCGATACCAAGTTTAAATTCTGGACACGGCTTATGGCAACTGGAGGAGTCCAGGGCTAGTATGTGCACGCGGAAGAAAAAGCCGTCGGGAGTGATGTACAGGCGGCTCATCTTGTACAGCCCGTCGGGGTCCACCAGTAGAGTAACCAGCCGCATGCCCGCGCCCAGCACGTCCACGTCGTGCACGATTCCGTTCACGGCTGCTTTGGGAAAAGGGGATTTGGAGAGAAGCATTACAACCAGCGCCGCGTGAGTTCCGGCGCGCGGGTACCCGGGAGGGTGTGTGAGCTCACCGAATTCGCTGGCGCAGTAAGCCTCGCGCTCGTCCGCGTCCGCGCTGCAGGCGCGCGCACAGGGCTGGGTCTCCAGCTCGGCGTCCTCGGGCGCCAGCGCCTGCGGGGTTCCAGAGGGCTGCGCGGCGGCGCGCGGCCGGTTCGGGTGGGCGGGGCCGGCGGCGCGCGAGGCCGGGAGTCGCGGGCCTCGAGAGCGCCCGCGCCGCGGGGAGTCCTCGGGTGGGGACGCCCGGTTGTCCGCCTGGGCGAGGCGCGGGCCCGGAAGCCCCGCGGGCGCGCGCGCCGCATCCCGGAAGCCGGCGCGGTTGTCAGCGGGCGGCGCGGGCTTCCGGCGCCGGGGATCGGGCCAGGCGCGCGGCCCTGCGTCCGTGGACCGCGGGCGGCGCGCGAACTCGGGCAGCGGCACTGTGCGCGGCCCCGGCGTCTCCCGGGCGCCAGGCTTTCGGTGCGGCGGCGGGGCTGCGGGAGAGAGCAAGGCGGTGAGCCCGGGGTGGTGGGGCCGGAGCAAAGGAGCCTCGGAGCGAGCACCTGCCCGATCGGTGCACCGCCAGCAGCACCAGGCCTCGGCGGGTTCGAGGTCAACCTGAGCTACGGTGTCAAACTAGCCTCAGAATAAACAAGTAAATCCAAGAATGGAGCCAAGGAGCTTTGCCAAATCTTTTGACTCTTCTATTTATTCTAGAACTAAACACTTCGGGTAACACTGATGAAACTTCTGTCTTTACCCTTCAATATATCACACACACACACCTTTTTTTGCTATTTACAGTCTGTTGAGAAAGTAGCAAGAGCAAGCCCCGAGGGGAAACGTCTCGAGTTACAGGTTTCTCCTAATTGTTTAAGCGCCCCTGACAACAGAACTATTTGGTTTTCCCATCCGTGTTTACACTGTCATCTTGGTCTCCTGCAGCATCAAGCATTTCTGAGTGGATTTTTATCTGGCTTCTTGGACACCACTTACTAGTAAACAACAGCTTAGAAAGGATTTTAGAAGCTCAGCTAAGAGGCAAAGGCCCCTGCCTGGTTAAGTATAAAAGCATACATTAGTTCTATTAGTCCCCATTAGAAAACTCTCCCAAGTACCATGAAGACACTTTTTAAAAAACTTATTAATGATTTTCTCCAGCTCTGCATACAGGTTGTTGCACAAACTTAAGCTAGCTTGAAATCTGGGCAACTTTCCATGCACAGTTACACAATATCACCTCCCAGTGCCCCTCCAGCCAAGCACAGCCCAGAGCCTACTTTTCTCTCCGTTTGCATTAAATAAAGAGCTTGGTCTGTCCCCTGCAGCTTTGACAACACCTCGTTATACTGATGCCTCTTGCCAGATGAATAATTTTGAAAAATCAGCTTTCTCCCAGTAGGAATGACTAGTTATACAGTCTGTGCTTTTGCAAAGCCATTGGTTCTAACTTCATGTATTAAACCCACGCACAATGCACAGCCAAATAAAGTTCTGGTTACTATCCAACTCCTGAGTGTCAACTGTTGACCTCAACTGCTTCCCTACTGATACCGCCATCTGTTGTCATGGGAAAGATGGTTTGACATTTGGGTTAAATGCCACTGAAGTCCTTTAATTTCCATGTGGGGGGAAAAACACTAAAATAAATTGCCCTGTGAGGTGTGGAAACTGTTTTTCCCAGAGATAGTGAAATGAACAAAACATCCTAACAAAAACAGCAAAACGTCATCAAGACCTCCTGATTTGTGCGTGCGTGCGTGCGTGCGTGCGTGTGTGTGTGTGTGTGTGTGTGTATGTGTTATCAAGGTTCAGGTATACTAGAGGCTATACCAGAGCTACGTGGAGAGGGGCAGGATGCCCGGGGCTGTCGAACCATGTTGGCCTGTGTCACCATGCCTAGCCTGGGAACCTATCCACAGCGAGCCACGACCCCTTTTGACACTTTCCCTCCTTTGGGATGCAGCTATTTAACATGCAAAGTTTTCTCCAGCCTGCCTGGCTCTCATGCGATCATTTCAGCAGCTGAAGCCGCGTCTTTCCTCCCGAAAAGGCTGCCAAAGAACATGAAATCCTGGGGGACCCTTGTTGCCGCTCGCTGGCACGCACGCAGACCCGGAGTCGCTTGTCCCGCAGGCTCTGACCCTTGGCTCGTCCCGCCCTGCATCGCGCCCTTTTCCCCCGGTCCCTGGGACGCTGCCTTTCAGCAACCTCACCTTTTCTCTCCGCCACCGGGGCTTCGGGGGACCATCCGATGATCAAACAGAGAAGCCAGAGGGCTCGAGCTGTCATTTTTGTAGACAGGGTTCCCAGGGCTGGAAAAAACGCAGCAAGGGCTTTGGCTCGCTTCCTCTCCCCCCACCCCTTCTCCACACCCCCCACCCCCGTTCATGCTAATGAGGGGCAGCCTTTGGGGAAACGGGCATCTCTGGCTCTGCACAGACCATTGAAACAAAACCGAGCGGCGGGGATCTCGCCCTCTTCCCGGGAGGGGGGGTGGGGGTCGGATGTGTGGTCCGGACGGGATCTGGGGGCCAGGAGAACACCACGGCCTTGAGCTCTCGCTCTGGGCGGGCGGTGTGCTCGGGGTGAGGTGACCGCGCGAGGGGAGAGTGAGGGTTTTGAGGGAGCTGAAGGGACTGGATGAAGGAAAGTGAGTGATGAAGTCAACAACAAATAAATCAGTGCTTAGAATAGCTTGGGCTTGGGGAGGGGAGGGGAGGGGACGCCAGATGACAAAAAATGCATTCCAGAACGTGTGAGGCAATTGCCAGACAAACCAAGTTTGGCAAAGCTGTTTGACTATATGTGCAATCTTGATATCCTAGAACCAGAAACGGGGCGGGCGGGGGGCCGGGGGCGGTCAGGGGAGACCTTAACAAAATATTTCTTCTTGCCCGACCTGTCCTCCTCCTCCTCCACCCCCTCCTCCCTCTTCTCTTCTCTCTTCACTCCATCCATCCATTGATAACTGGTACTCAGTTGACCAGATTCAAGTGTACACTGAATGCATAAAGATTGGCAATCCTGCCGGGCGCTGGTGGCGCATGCCTTTAATTCCAGCACTCGGGAGGCAGAGGCAGGCGGATCTCTGTGAGTTCGAAGCCAGCCTGGTCTACGAAGTGAGTTCCAAGACAGCCAGGATTGTAACACAGAAAAACCCTGTCTCTAAAAACAAAAACCAACAACCACAACAAAAAATTGGCAATCCACCTTTCCAATCCTGGGGGCGTCTCATTGCTTGGGGAAAGGCCCACCTTTTATTTCTAAGAAAAGCACATTCCTTTCCGGCTCCCTGACACAGCATCTTACCTAGATTGGTCCGGAGTTAAAGGCCCCTTTCCCTCAGATGAAATAAAACCAACATTGCCAAGGGGACTGTGAGGGGAGAAAGTCGGAAGCCTCGGGGACCGCATCTCAGGCCACAACCACAAACCTAAATGGAAGCTGGAAAGCTCTGAGATGAAGGGCTTCACGTGCGCACCCGAGGCTACAGAAGGAAGGCTCTGGGTTCTGTGGCACCGACATCCAGGGGCCAGAAAACAGTGCTGGGGTACAGAGTAGACGCTGAGGTTGTCTGCTCAGAGAAGACACGCTAGGGTAGGCACACTGGAGTGGGAGCAAGGCTCCGTCACATAAGTTCTGAAGGGATAAGGAAAGGACGTCTCCGTCCGCTACGCTCCATGAGGCAGGAGTCGTGGAGCAACTGGCTCGCTTTTAGCTTCCAAAAGAATATTCTAGAGGATGTAGCTCAGTTAGTAAAACGCTGGCCCAGCATGCATGAAGCGCTGGGTTGGACTGCGCGCACCTCATGGAGCAACTGTGGGAGAACACACCAGCAACCCTCACACTGTGAGGCAGAGGCGGGAAGATTAGTGGTGTGAGCACATCCTCAGCTGCACAGGGAGGGAGTTCAGGGCCAGCCTGGGCGACACAAGACCTTGTCTCGAAAGTATTCACAATATATATTCACAGCTGGTGTCCCAAAGAAACAAGCTGGTTTAAAGAGCAAAACAAACTAGGGCTGGAGATGTGACGCTTAGGTAGAGTAGCTATGGCTCTGCCATTTCAGACGACTGACTGACTCACACTTGTGTGCTCTGCTTCCGAGGAACCAGACCCTTCTAACCTTCTCGGGCTCCTGCACACATGCATGGCACTTACACTCGGACACACACACAGGCACACAACACACTCAAGCACACACTTACTCAGACTTACACACACTCAGACACACACACTTACATGCACTCAGGCACACACACTTACACACACTCAGGCATACACACTTGCACGCACTCAGATACACACACTTACCTGCACTCAGGCACACACACTTACATGCGCTCAGGCACACACACACACACTCAGACACACACACATGCACTCAGGCACACACACACTCAGACACACACACTTACATGCACTCAGGCAGACACACACACATACACTCAGGCACACACACTTACATGCACTCAGGCGCACACACACACAAAAACTTAAGATATTTTAAAATCTAAACTAAAACTCTGAAATCAGATTGCAGATAGTATGGAGCATTTGTAACCATGAGCCTGGCCAGAAAGGGACCCAAAGAGGGCACTGTAGAAGGGGACCCTAAAGTGGGTCTACTGTGGCCTGAGGGCTGCCGCAGGGCGAGCATGTTTCCCAGAGAGGTGAAGGGGTAGGAGGGGGACAGTTTGACCATGGAGCACCTGTCTAATGTGAACAACAGCGCATCAAAAATGCCAACAAGCCGGGCGTCGCTGACACATGCCCTTAAATCCCAGCACTCAGGAAGCAGAGGTGGGTGGACCTCTGTGAGTTCGAGGCCAGCCTGGTCTACCGAGTGAGTTCCAGGACAGCATCCAAAGCCACAGTGAAACCCTGTCTCGGAAAAACAAAACAACAACAACAAAAAGGTGCCAACAAAAACAGCCAGGAAGTGATGGTGTACTCTTGGGAGGCAGAGACAAGTGGATCTCTGTGAGTTCAAGACCAGCCTGGTCTACAGAGTGAGTTCGAGGACAGCCAGGGATACACAGAGAAACCGTGTCTTGAAAACAAAACAAAACAAAAATGTAAAGATAGCTGGAACCTGGAATTGGTGGCACACGCCTTTAATCCCAGCACTCAGGAGGCAGAGGCAGGTGGATCTCTGTGAGTTCAAGACCGGCCTGGTCTACAGAGTGAGTTCCAGGACAACCTCTAAAACAATACAGAGAAACCCTGTCTCAAAAAAAAAAAAAAAAAAAAAAAAAAAAGAGAGAGAGAGAGAGAGAGCTGGCTCAGTGATTAAGATCACTCTGTTCCCAACATTCTCTTGTCAACTGACAACCATCTGTAACGCCAGTTCCAAGGGATCTGACGCCATCTTCTGGCTGCTGATGGCACTGCATGCACATGTGCACACACACACACACACACACACACACACACACTTGGAAGCAAAACTTGTACACATACAATTTTTAAAAAGAGAAAGAAAGAATAGCTTCTCCAGTCACACCAGCCTTGTGTACATGGTCTAGTGGCTCCCAGCTCAGGACACAGCCAGGCAGTCACCTTTAGTTTCAAGTTCTGGGTGCTCAGACTCTAGATGTGAGCTGATCTAATTCTCCCACGTGCTTTTTGTTTTTGGTTTTTCCACGCCAAGTGGAATTAGGCTTAAGCTTTCTCAGTTACAACCACATTTTAGACATGCCTTCCTGAGACTACATTCAAGTCACCCAGATCCAGTTTAAGGTGTTTCTGGAATTCCACCACGTTAGAATTGTGAATATCACAGCCCATACCCAGAAATATAGATGCAGAGAGTGTGTCAATCTTCCAGGACTCCTAGAACCCCCCAGAGTGGTACCAACTAAGAGAACTTCCCAGAACCCAAGGCCAGCTCTTGGCCAGTGTGCTGATTAGACAAACTAGAGTCACCTGGGAAGAAAGAGGCTCCGTTAAGGGGACTCTCTCCTTCGTATTGACCTACAAGCATCCATGACTCATGTTCTTGATCTGTGATTGACATGGGAGGACCCAGCTCTCTGGGGTAATGCTACCCCTGGGCAGGTGGCCCAAGCTGCATAGAAAGCAGGCCCAGCAAACTTTGGGGAGCCAGAGAGCGAGCAGTGCTCCCCATGGCCTCTGCTTCAGTTCCAGCATGGAGGTTCCTGCCCCGACTTCTCATTGTGAACTGTCACCTGGAAGTGTAAGCAACCCCATGCTGCCTTTCACCCAGTGTTTTATCAGAAACAACAGAAACCAAGCTAAAATAGGCAGTGTCTGGTTTGTAGCCTCATAAGCCAACTAGGGCCAGGGAGGGACCTCAGTGACACAGCACTTGCCTCGCATAAATAAGACCCTGGGTTCGATATCCAGTATCACAAAAGAAAAATGCTCTTGTTGGCCATGGTGGACCCATGCCTATAATCCTAGCACATTGACACCTAAATCCTAGCAGGATTGCATAGGTTCAAGGATAGCCCAGTTTACATATCGAGATCCAGACCAGCAACAAGTCAAGGCTCTGTGATAAAACCCCATCTCAAAAGGATAAGAGAGGAAGAGGACAGGGAGAAACCACTAATGGTTGGAGCCAAAGAGGCTGATCTACTTAGAATAGCTATGAGTGTGTTTTATTTTCTTTTATTTTATGTATATGGGTGTTTCCTGCATGTATCTATGTGCGCCATGCACGTGCCTGGTGCCTGTGGAGGCCCAGAAGAGGGTGTTGGAGCCCCTCAGAACTCCAATTACAGTTATGAGATGCCCTGTAGGTGCTGGGATTCGAACTCGTGTCCTCTGAAAGAGTGGCAGGTGCTCTTACCTGCTGAGCCTTCCGTTCAGCTCCAAATACCAGCTTCTTCATTTACAATGAGAAATTGGCTCGAGCAAATACCCTGTCTATAAATAAGCCATGCTGGGGGGTGGGGCGAGTGTGTAACTGAAGCGCTCTGGAGTTGAGGAGGACTAGCCCAAGCTCACCGCCAGCTGGAGCTACATAACAAGTTCAAGGGAGCCTTGGAATGTGTAATGAGACCCTGTTTCAAAAGAAAAGAAAATAGTTTTCCTTCCCATTGTCTACCCGCAAGGTGTTTCGTAATGGACCTCAGAGCACGTAGTCGTTCCCGTGCTTGGAATGTAGTGTCGTGTCGACTTTTCATGGCGTCCTGAGTTCACCTGTGTGTTAATACTCTGTATTCTGGTCAGCCGGAAGAGCCCTGGGGCCTGTTTTCCTTCCCCCTGACAATTTCTGATGTTTGTGTGTACCTTCTGCTTGGCAAATATTTGTCGAATGTGTACTATGTTCTGGAATTTACCCAGGGATAGACATGTCTTGGTTTCCTGAACTGTGTGGGTCACATCTGCACTTACTGTAATGGCAGCCCTTGGAGGCCCCCCCCCCACACCCCCATAGCTTCAGGATGAGGCTGAGTCACCAGGAAATCACAGCATCAGAGAGATGGGGCTTGAGCCATCCCCGTAATCTCTGAGGAGGAGAAAGAAGTGCGCTGGAGATTAGGTTCGGTCACATGGCCGTGATTTCATTAGTCACACCTTCTCAGTGGAACCACAATACAATCTCTAGGCTCCAGAAGCCCAGTGAACCGTCTCCGATGGTAAACTAATCGGGAAACCAGTACTCAGAAATCAG